TATGGGTCTTGTACCACTTTACTTTGAACGAATGTTCAAATTTATCAATGTGGTACCCAGAACTGGATATGATTTTGCAGGTGTGGTCTAACCATGGGACAATTCAAGTGGACCATCATCATCTTACTGATGTTCCCTAGACTTCTCAATACATCTGAAGATCTCATTAGCATTTTGAGGTTGTCATATCACAACTGTTGGCTAAAATTAAGTTTACAATTTCATTAATATTCCAAGATCTTTTTTTTTAGAAAATATTTCTTTATAATGATACGTCCTTCATCTTGTATTTATGAACTTAATTTTTTGTACCCAAGAGTAAAACTTTGCATTTATCTGTGTTCTGTTCTCTTCAGTTGTGTACAACTCTTTGTGACCCCATTTGGAGGTTTTCTTGGCAAAGATACTGGAGTGGTTTGCCATTTCTTTCTCCAGCTCATTTTACAGATGAGGAAACTGAGGCAAACAGGGTTAAGTGATTTGTCCTGAGTCACATAGCTAGTAAGTGTCTGAGGCCAGATTTGAACTATGAAGATGAGTCTTCCTGACTCAAGGCCTGGAAAAAGAAAGGCAAAATAAAACCCTTTTGACAAATAAGCATAATCAATCAATACAAATTTCCACATTGACAATGTTCAAAAATGTATCTAATTTTGCATATTTAGTCTGTCACTTCTCGGTCTGTAGGCTTACCTCATTCTTTATCATTGGTTCCCTTGGGATCATGGTTGGTTATTGCATTGATCAGAGTACTTAAGCCTTTAAAGGTTATTTAAAATTGCTGGGGGAAAAAAAAACCCAAACAATTTTGCACTCTGGTAGAAATTAGGTTTGGACCAATATCTCACATTACAAGAAATCTAAGTTATAAATAGCCATGTGAAAAAAATGTTTCAAAACACTAATAATTAGGGAAATGAAAATTAAAGCACTTCTGAGGTGCTACCTAATATCCATCAGATTGGCAAAGTTGACAAGAAAGAAAAATGACAAACGTTACAGAGGCTATGGGAAAATTGGCATATTTACATATTATTGATGGAGCTGTCAGCCTATCTAGCCATTCTAGAAAGCAATTTGGATCTATTCCCTAAAAATTACTAAACCGTGTATATCCTTTGACTCAGGGATATACATACCAGGCCTATATCCTAAAGAGACCAAAGAAAAGGGAAGGGACCGTATATACAAATATATTTGTAGCAGCAAAGCTCTAGAAATGAAAAGGGTGCCCATTAATTGGGAAATGACTGAATACAGTATGAATGTAATGGAATATCACTATACCATGAAAGGATGAAATGGGCAGTTTAATAGAATCCTGAGAAGACTTGAATAAACTGATGTAAAATAAAGTAAGCAGAACCAGGAGAACAATTTATAAACTTACCTTTATTTTCTTTCAAATACCATTGATGGTGACTCAGGAACCATGTCTTACAATTTTTTCAGTTACCTAATATGTCATTTATCTAGTTCAGGTCATTTGACCTGAGCAAGGGCAGTTAGGTGCTATATATTTCTACTTATTTTAAGTTAAATCTCAGTTACTGCTATTTGGTCTCTCCTTTTCAGGACAAAGATAATACTCCTTGGCAGAAAAGACAGAATCAAAATAAGAGTAAAGAGTTTTGACTTCATCAGTTATGCTAACTTCATCAGTTTTCATTGTCCTTTCCACCGTGAGCAGTGAGTAGTCCTATGTAATTTTTAATCTTCCTTTTTTCCTCAGTGGAGCTAAAACTAAGACACTCCTTCTTATGGTCTTTAGCTTTTGTCACCAACTTCACCTCATTGTGAGCTTTAGCATCTCTGATTCCATTCTTATAGGAATGTGCCTCAATGTTCTATTCATCCTCTGTTACTTGTCCTTTTTTCCATCCTTTCTACATCCTTTTAAAACCTAAATTATCTGGCGAGTTCTCTGGGTATCCACGTTAATCTTATTACACAACTCCCTTCCTCTTCCTCCTGAGAACTGTTTTTCTCTGTATCTTCAGAGTGTCTTTCTTGAGAACTTCTCATCCTTCTTTGGCAAACTCTTCTGTTAGCTACCTGGCTATCCTTTCTCTGACAGCTTTGAAATCTGTTCCTCCAAAATCTAGGCTGCATGTCAGATTATATATAGCTTTCTTCTTGTTGACTATCAATTCAGAGAGTGACTATTTACTTCCCTTTAGAATTCCCATTATTTCTTCCTCCTTGGTGAGATTCATAACCAAAATTTCTCTGTGTAGATTCCTCTAACTTTTGAAGGCTGAATTGTCATTAAGGAAAATCAAGAATGTATTAGATATTCTTTTTTTTTTTTAAGGTGAGCATTTACCTTTCTTTCTTCCCCTTTCCCTCTGCTACATTGTGCCTTGGCGGTAGGCTTATTAACTGTGCCCAGAACTCATCTATTTCATTTTTTGGATCATTTTAACAATAAACATTGATGATTTCTGCATCTACCTCCATTTATCTTCACTTAAATGCTCTGCACTATACTTCCATACTCTACTTCCTGAAATTCACATGAGTTATCTTCTTAATTGGCAGCCAGATGATTCAGTAAATAGAGCACCAGGCCTAGAGTCAAGAAGACCCGAGCTCAAATCCAGCCTCATCAGTTACTATCTCTGTGGCCCTATTTGCCTCAGTTCGTCATTTGTGAAATGAGCTGGAGAAAGAGATGGCAAACCATTCCAGCATCTTTGCCAAGAAAACCCCAAAAAAGGGTCATGAAGAGTCAGACACAACCAAATATGACTAAACAACAACAATCTTCTTAATATACAACACTATTCCATCGCTCCCCTCTGCCCTCAGCTACCACCTTTTACTTATTGTTTCTTTGGAATGAAGTATGCTTTTCCAGAGTATTATTCCACTGACATGTCTCATCACCATTTGACTTCAGTATGAGGTGAAATAGGCCTACTTATCTTAGGATGTCTAGCTAATCATACAATTTATCCATACTTTATGCATTTGTGCACAGACATGTGAGGTCATGGGTTTTATTACTGGCTCTTTTCTTGGACTTTTTTTGTCTTATGAGTTTTTGTGTATCTCAACTGATATTTTTTCTTTATTGTAGCTACTATCTAGGGTATCTAGTTTCATATCTATCTTTCTACCTATCTTTCTATCTATGTGTGTGTATACACACACACACACACACACACACACACACACACACACACACACGAGTTTTCTTCTTTTTCCCTTTCTTTTTAGTTTAACATCCTTGTTATTAGATTTATGAGACTCCAGGCCAATATAGTCTTACCAGTCCTGGTTAGAATATTCATCCCTGACCATCAGTCTTTCATGCCTATATTTTAAGCTGTAATCCAGAAATCCAAATTCTGTGCTCTGTTATCGATTTCTTATTTAGCTATTCACTTTCCAAATCTGCTTTTCTCTGCTGAATTCCATGCCTTTGAGAGTACCACTTATGAAAACACCGCCTGTGCCCTGAGGACTTCAGTTTCTTTCCCAAGTCTCTTTAGCCTTTAACCATGTTTTTTTGGTTCCTTCTGACATTATCATGTATATCCACATGAGTAACCAGAGGTGGTAGCAGTCATCATCTTGTCATACCCTGGAAGGTTCTCTGTCATATCTTGGAAAATACATACCTTGGGAAGATAGCAGATTGATCTGTTGTTGCTTTCTAGTGGCAAATGAGTTGCCTTAGTTCCCCTCATGAGCAGTAACCAACAACTATTGTCTCTTCTTTTTCTGATTCTTACTGGATGGGTTTTCACTGGACAGGGCAGATACATCTGGATTATCATTCCTTGGAAGACAAGTACCTGTTTCCTTGGAGCATCCACCTTTCTCCTCTTCATGAAGAACCTCAAATATCTTTCTAGTAGCAACCCTTCTTACCTTTTCTTGCTTTAAGCTGCTCTCCTACCTTCCCATCTCCCGATGCAGGTCAGGATTCCTCTCTGCTTCGTGGTATTCTTCTTCTTCTTCTTCTTCTTCTTCTTCTTCTTCTTCTTCTTCTTCTTCTTCTTCTTCTTCTTCTTCTTCTTCTTCTTCTTTTTTCCACTTTGAAGGTGTTTTGTTCTTATTGAATGCCCCTTCCCCTTCCTCAAGTAACACTTCGTGATCTGGAGAGTGGAATGTTGCTTTTCAAGACAAAAAACAAAATGGTAGAAGAGATGAAAGGAAAGGGCAGCTGAAAGTCAGGAAGGCTTGGATTTAGTTCCTACCTCAAGCATTTACTAGTTGTGTGACCCTGGGTAAGTCACTGAATCTCTCTGTGCTTTAGTTTCCCAATCTGTTAAAAACAAAGGGGGGTTGGATTTGTTGACCTCTAATGGCCCTTCTAACTCTAAATCTATGATCCTACAGCCTTGGAGCTCACTGCATGAATCCCAAGCACATTGTCATAGTGAGATTCCTGTATGTGGGTAGAGGTGGTACCAACTGTTTAAGAAAATGATTTCCTTTTCCCCCTTCTCCCAGGGCAGAGCTGGGAATCTGGGATTGAGATGGCAAAGTCCAGGAGGAACTAGGGCATTAAAGAGAACCAACTATGGCTCTCTTGTGAGTTTCTGTCTGCTGAACTGAGAAGTCGGAAGGTCTAACTTCAAATCCTACCTCAGAGGCTCACTGTGGGACCCCAGGGAAGTCAGTGCTTATCCTCTCAGCCTCAGTTTCCTCACTTGTAAAATGAGGATTAAATAATAGCACCTTTCATAGGGTTGTCATGAGGATTAGGTGAGATAATATATAACAAAGCACAAATATTAACTGTTACTATTCTCTTCTTCCTCAAAATAGTCTGTTCCATCTTGTGTCCCAATAACACCCTAATCTAACTAACCTTGCCTTATAGTGTACTCATTGTGTACATGCTGTTCCCCTTTCCACTTCCTCTACAAAATACAAGCTCCCCGAGAACACAGATTATGACATTTATTATTTTTACATCTGCAATGCCTTGAATTTAGTAATCTGCTTAATAAACATCTGTTGTTTAGTTTGTTTCAGTATTTTTGGTAACTTCGAAGAAGAGGTGGGGGTCACCCAGGGGAGAAGAGAGAGGGTGTGTCACTACCCAGGCAACCTGTATGAAGAAGGTAGTGTCAAGATCCCTTGCTGTCTGCTTTCCCCTTGGTTGTGTTAGGGAGTATTCAGGTGTCTCTTCCAGAAATTATAAGCCTGAATCAGTCAACTTGTTATGTTTCAGGCATTGTGCTAGGCTCTAAGGACATAAATGTGAAAGTGAGACACTGCTGACCTCAGGGAACTTCCATTCTACTATCTACGGAACAAAATGTTCACAGGCAAATAAATGTAAGTTAAAGAGGGAATGAATAGTTTTATTTGGGAACTCTAGTGGCCTTTTTCTAATACTCCAGTTGTTCAAGAAAAATATTGCAAAGCAATGTCACCTTTCTAGCCTAACGAACCTTAAATAGACTTTCTATATATGCCAAGGGAGAAGAGAGCTTCCCCAGACCTTGTGCTGTATAAATACTTATTGTAAGGGCTGCTTTGGTGATCACTATGCCTATACTTTCCTTCCTTCCCAGGGGATGTTGATGTAGCCTCCAGTAGCAAAGAGATAGAGCAGGAGATTGGAGAGTATTACTAGTATGAATGGGCTGAAGGTTCTTGACAGAGAATATGAATTTCATAGTTTTGATACACAAGCCTCCTGGAAAGAGAATCTCTTTACTGTTTATTGTAGCAACCCAGGAGAGGAGAAGCGTTCGGCCTGGACTGCATAATGAAGAAAAGTCACCGGCAGGATCAGCACATGGCAGGGCGCCAGCTCTGAGTCTGCTCTTCTTTATGGAAGGCCAAGAAGGGAAGACACTGGGCTGGCGGAAGGCTGCCTGGAGTGAGATTTCAAAATTGGTCTTTCTCCTCCGGAGGCTTGGCTTCAAATCTAATTAGCTAACTAATGACAGTAAATGATTGTAATTAATTGATGAATGCTAAAGTGGTTTGACTGTACAAAAGCACTGGGTAAAGCCTTGAGTGAAATGAAAGGCTAGTCTAACTTCAATGACCAGATTAATGTGAAGCTTTTATCCAGGTCCTTGGTGAGTCTTTTACTGCTGAGTATCTGGGGCTGTAGACTTTTCTGGGGGAGCTGGAATGCTGGGTGGGCTCTGTCTCCTCAAAGTCTCTTTCCTTGCTTCTGGGGCATAAGCCCTTCTCCCCTAACCAGGAGAGACACACTGCAGACAATGGGCTTTGGAGGGCATTACTGAGGGTCTGCTGGTGGGTTTTCAGAATTCTTGACTTCATTGTCCCCATAAACCACAAAGATCACAGGATTTAGACCTGGAAAGAGCATTAGCGAATGAATTAAATCAAACTGCCCTCTAGCGTAGGGCTTGAGATTTGAAAGTAGGGCTCTCCTGGCCCCAAGACCCACTATTCTTTCCACAATGCCATGTTTATGACACTGTCGTTTGTGCTTATCTGTATCACCGAAAGTGAGCAGTAATCATCAGGCTGGACCTATTTTGGGAGGTCCTTCATCATATCTTGGATACATGTCCCAGATGATATCAACCAATCAGTCAAAAAGCATTTATTTAGGATTTAATATATGCCAGTCACTAAGTACTGGGAAAACAAAGAAAGGACAAAACATGTCCCTTTTCTCAAAGAACTTATGTTCTAATGGAGGAGACAACAAATATAATATAAGGTATAAGCAAAATACATACAGAATAGGTGGAAGGTAGTTATAGAAGAGAAGGCATCGTTAGCTGAGGAGTCTGGGAAAAGCCTTCTGCAGGAGGTTATGCTTGCGCTGTTTTGAAGGAATCCAGGAATTTTAAGAGGTAGAGATGAGGAAGGATTAGATCCCATGATGGTGGTGGTGGGGATAGACAGTGAAAAGAGATGGAGATAGGAGACAGTGTGATGAATGTCAAGTGGGTCAGAATGGTTGGGCCAGAAGCAGCCAGTGGTGCAGTGGATAGAGCATCAGGCTTGGATACCTGAGTTTAAGTACAGTCTCAGATATTTACTAGCTGCGAGACTCTGGGCAAGTCACTTAGCCTCTGTTTTCCTCAGTTTCTTCAACTGTAAAATGGGGATGACAATAATAGCACCTACCTCTCAAGGTGATGGTGAGTTTCAAATGAGAATATTTGTAAAAAGTGCCTGTACAGTACAGTGCCTGGCACGTAGTAGGTGCCATATAAATGCTTATTTTTCCTTCCTTAGAATGCATGAAAGGGAGAAATGTGTAAGAAGATCGGAAAGTCTGGAAGGAGTCAGATTGTGAAGAGTTTAAATTCCAAAGAGAAGAGACGACATTTGATTCAAGAAATCATAGGAAGCCACTGGAGTTTGTTGAAAAAGGGTGTGACGCTATCAGACTTGAACTTTAGGAAAATCACCTTGTTAGCTATGGAGAGCATAAATTGGAATGGGAAGCCATTTGAGTCAAGGAGGCAGGAGACTATTGCAATGGTCCAAGTGAGAGGCGGTGAAGTATAATCTAGGATAGGAATCATACTAGGAGAGAAGGGAATATATAGAAATGACCTGAAGGTAGACATGACAAGATTTGGCAGCTGATTGGATATGAATTGTTAATATAAAATTAACAAGTTGAAAACTTAGGTCACTTGGTTCTTAAGATCATGGAATAACTCTAGTGTTACGAAAAATCTTAGCACATTCCATCAGGTTGGTGAAAACTTTGGTTAGAACAGAAATCCTTGGGGCACATATGTTAAGTAATGGATTTGTGATCTCATCAAGGCTGGTACTTCCTCCAGGGAGGTAAATCACAGCATTTATGCCTGCCTATCTTGCGCTACTTTTATCCACATCAGTCCTCCGGAATGGGTCCATCCAACCAACCAAGGAGCCTTCCTCTAGGCCTCTTGACATTGCATAGATTCCAGTGGTGTACTTGGGCTATCCACCTCTTATCTTTCACTCTCTTCATTTCCCACCCAGACATACTTTTATTTCATCATGTGGCCAGGAACTTCATCATTCAGCAAAGATCACCTCACCTTTAGTATTCATGCCTCATCACTATCTTTTGATTAGAGGGTGGAATGGGGAGCTCCTCCCCAAACTTCCTTTCAAGAAGGGCTCCAAGGCTCTCCCCAAGAAGCCAGCCATACTCCTTTGGATTTCTCCATCATATCCTTTCATGTACTGTCTTCCCCCATTAGATTGTAAGCACCTTGAGGGCAAGGACTGTCTTTCTTTTTCATGTTTGTTTCCCCAATGCTTGGCCTATAGTAGACACTGAATAAATGTTTATTGAATTGACTGACTTTGCTGCATGACAAGTCCATCTCTTTTTCCCTTTCTGATCACGTATTTCACATTTGTCTGCTTCTCCTGAGCAGTTTCTTGGTTATAATGTGTTGTGGCCAGCACCTACCCACCACGGGCCTTTCCATTGTGCCTTTGGTGATCCTTGACTTTGATTCTTTCAAGAATGTGGCATTCCATTCAAGAAATCCTTTGAATCCTTGAAGTGTGGTAGTATCCCATAAAACTGAGAAATAGTTCTTTCACCAGGCAGGGGTCCCCCACTTCAGTAAGCTTCATCTTATGTGGATACTTATAGACTGACTTATTACATGCCCCAGAAACTCCAGCTCCTCTTTCTCAAATGAGTACTTTAACTTGGCAAATAGCTTATCTGTAGACATTAATAATAGTTGCCACTTAAATACATAAGGCTTCAAGGTTTGCAAAATGCTTCTCATGCAATTTCTCATTCAAGCCTGGAGACATCAGATAAAGGAGTTGGGAGTATTTAGCTTGAGAAGGGAAGACTCAGGGGACACATGATGACTGGCTTCAAGTGTTTGAAGGGCTATCATGGGGAAGAGGGAATAGATTTGTTCCCTTTTACCCTAGAGGGTAAAACCAGGAGTCAGGTTAGAAATTGCAAAGATGTCAATTTCAAGTTGATGTCAGGGGAAAGTTTGTCATGGTAATTGTGGAATAGGTTAAGGGCAGTTTGGTGGTGCAGTAGATAGAGCACCAGCCATGGAGTCAGGAGAACCTGAGTTCAAATTTGGTCTCGGACTAGACTCTTGACACTTACTAGCTGTGTGACCCTGGGCAAGTCATTTAACTTCAATTGCCTCACAAAAAAAAATGGAACAGGTAACTCAGGAGGTAGTGGGTTTCCACTCGGTTGAATAGAGGCTGAATGACTACTCTTTGGGTAGGAGTTCCTTTTAAATAAGGCTTCCACTACATGGCTGACTCAGTCCCTTACAACTTTGAAATTCAAGGAACTAGATGGTGCTGTGGGTAGGGGACTCAACGATTTGGAGGCAGAAAGACCTGAGTTCAAATATTGCCTCAGACAAATATAGCTTTAAGGTCCTGAGAAAGTCACGCAAGCCCTCTCTGCTTCAATTTTCTCATCTTTAAAGTGGGGGAAAGGGCAGCTAGGTGGCACAGTGGATAGAGTGCCCAGTCTGGAGTCATGAAAACCTGAGTTCAAATCCAGCCTCAGACACTTACTAGCTGTGTGACCCTAGGTAATTCGCTTCACCCTGTTTGCCTCAGTTTCCTCATCTATAAAATGAGCTGGAGAAGGAAATGGCAAACCACTGTAGTATCTCTGCCAAGAAAACCCCAAATGGGTCACCAAGAGTCCTACATGACTGAAAACAACTGAACAACAACAACAAAGTGGTTGAAAGTGGTTCTCCTCTCTTCTCACAGTTATTGGGAGGATTAGATTGTGCTTGTAAACTGCCTCACAACCTTGTAGTACAATATAAATGCTAGCTGGGACTCCTATGAGGTTGTGCTGCAGTTTTTTTTATTCTCATCTTGCAGATCAGGAAGGAACCTTTGCATCCAAAAGGTTAAAAGACCTATCCAGGGTGACTTAGCTGGTATTAGAGGCAGTATGTAAATCCAGACCTCACTTGCCCCCATGCCCAGTGTCCTTTTTACTATCTCATACTGCTTTTCAGTGGGTGCTAGAGGATAACCCAGGCCAACTTAGTGTCTCAGAAAGAAGTGACTATGTCACGATTGACCCTTCTCCTGTTGAACATGCCCTGAAATATCAGTGAACCTTTGAAAAACTGCAGGATGCTCCACTCACAGAAGAATTCCACCTAGACACTTACTAGCTATGTGATCATGAGCAAATCACTCAACCTCTCAGGGCCTCAGTTTCTTTGCCTGTAAAAAGGGGACAGTGATATTTTACCAGAGAATCAGTGCAGCATGGTAAGTAGAGAGCTGATCTTGAAGGCAGGAAAGAGGCAGCTTTGTCTCAGAGTCAGACTATGGGAGACAGAGAACCTAGAATGTAGAATCCTACAGCTGAAAGGGACTCAGAGTCCATCTAGTCCATCCTGCTCCTGGGAGGAGATCCCCTCTACAACATTTTTTTTTTTTGCTAGGCAATGGGGTTAAGTGACTTGCCCAGGGTCACACAGCTAGCAAGTGCTATGTGTCTGAGGCCAGATTTGAACTCAGGTCCTCCTGAATCCAGAGCCAGTGCTCTATCCACTACGCCACCTAGCTGCCCCATTCTACAACATTCTTATCAAGTAGACATGCAACCTCTTCTTGAGGCCCTCTCCTTCAGGTAAATCTACTACTTCATGAGTTTCAAAACATATTTCTAGTTTACCAGAAGTCAGACAGCACAGACTTCCACAAAAAGTAAGACTGACTCCCATTTCCAAGGAAGCTGTCAACCTTAGCACTCCAATAATGGCAACCATAAAAGCCTTTCTTCCTTTAGGAAGTCTATGGGAATAATTATTATATATATTACTTCTTAGCATACATCTGTCACATCTGTGCACATCTGAGAGTCCTGGAGATAGAAGAGAACCTTTCTCAAGGCCCACCAATGGCTGTGTTATGCAAAGCCAGCATGCGCGTGTCAGGAGCGTATCTTAGAATGTTGGGTATCTTTCTGATAATACATATTTCCCCTCTCCTTCTACCAACTCTGTTTTGCCTGAAGAGTAAGTGTTGCACAGTGAATATAGCATGGATGAAAGGTCAAGAGACCTAAAGCTGATTTCTATCCCAGATACTTAATAATTGTGCAATTATAAGCCCATCTTACAAAGCCTTAGTTTCTTCATCTGGAAACCAGGTGACAATAATATTGGATTAGCAAGTAAGTGTGGCAGAGTGCTTAGAGACCTCATCTTGGAGAAAGGAAGATCTGGTTCCCCATTCTGCTTCTGATGCATACTGGCTAATCACTTAAACTCTTAATTTGCTAGATGACTCTAAGAGTCTGAGTTGAAGAGAATGTGCCAACTTGTGTTGGTTTAGAGGGTGTTTCCTGTGTCAATGAAATCCCAGGTCCTATGCAAGTCCATGCATGGGGCATGGATGGTTCACGTTCTAAGCATAGGAGATTCCAGAAAGGAAAGGAGTTTTAGGCAGGGGATGGAAGGTTATCTAGAGCATTAACCTATAGTGAGAAAGGCTAGGAGCCCAGATGGTGGAGTAAAAGCAGTGACTTGTCTGAGCTCTCTCCCAAGCCCCTCCAAATACCTGTAAAAAATGGCTCTAAGCAAATTCTAGAGCAGCAGAACCCACAAAAAGATAGAGTGAAGCAAATTTCCAGCCCAAGACAACCTGGATGATTGATTGGAAAGATCTATTGCACCAGGCTGGGAGAGGAGCTCAGTTCAGCATGGGCTATGCAAACAAAGACCAGGCCTCAGTGAACCTGAAGCAGGCCTCAGGGGATTAAATCACAGGAAGCTGTGGTAGTTTCCAGACTTCTCAACCCATAAGCACCAAAGACAACTTAGAAGATCAGTGGGAAAGTTCTGTCTGACCAAGGTGAGAGAGGAGCTTGGTCCCAGCCCCAGGGTGGCAGCTGCTTCCAGAGCTCTTGGCCCACAGAGAGAGAGGGAATGGAGTGTATGGTCAGAGGGGGATTGCAGGGATCTCTTTGCTGGTGCTGAGGAAGGATTCTCTTGCTTTGCCCATGCTTGGATCTGGGTCACAGTTCTAGGTGGCGGTCCTGGGGAGAGGAGGAACGCTGACAGGGTGGAGCTTGTGGTGGCAGTGGAGAAAGAATCTTTCTCACAGTTCCAAGGCAGAAAAGAGTACTTGTGGTCACTCATAGACCAGAGAACAGGCCAGGAAAGGAGTAAACATATAGCCTTTGATCATATCACCTTGGAAGAACTGAAAACTTACAGGTCCCTAGAAGTATCTCTGAAAAGAGCTGCGCAAAACCCCCGAAGCTTGGGACAGTACATTCTCCACACTGGAAGCAGACCCCTACCTTAACAAAGAGTTTAAAAGTCAAGAAATTGGCTGCAAACATGAGCAAACTTCACAAAACAAAGTAAGACCACAGAATCTTTGTTTGGTCACAAAGAAGATCAAAATATACAACCAGAAGAAAACAACAAAGTCAAAGCTCCTACATCCAAAGCCTCCAAGAAAAATGTGAGTCAGTTCCAGGCCATGGAAGAACTCAAAAAGGATTTTGAGAAGCAAGTAAGAGAAGTAGAGGAAAAACTGGGAAGAGAAATAAGAGTGATGCAAGAAAATCATGAAAAACTAGTCGACAGAAAGGCTTGGCCCCGTACTCAGAAAGGTTTTCTAGTCTAGAAAGTCTATTGTTGTTGTTCAGTCCTTTCCAATTCTTCATGACTTCATTTGGGTTTTTCTTTTTTTTTTTTGTTTTGTTATTAAGGGTTTACTTTACCAGGCACTGTACTAAGCCCTGGGAATAGAAATACAGGCAAAAAGCTGCCACAGCATAAAAACCCCTCACCCACAAAACTTACATTCTCTTTTTGGGTAGGTTAGGGAATGAACACAGATAAGTGGATCCAAACCACAAACAAGGTAAATATAAAAATAATTTCACAGAACAAAATGCTGCAGGGAGACAGCTTGGAGGGGCAGGTTTCTTTCGTCAACTTTACTTCTTAGTAATAAAGAAAAATGGCTAGGTAAAAATGACAGACAAAAAGATTGTATCTGACAAAATATGTAACACCATGTTCACAAAGCCTCTTATCTCTATATTTTAAAAAAGGCACAAGTATTTCATCACCTGGTTTCCAGGGGACAATGCTGGTCAATATTGCAATTAATCTGAATTTGGCTGCCTTTTAGTGTCATATTCATTTTTATTATTATAGCTACTGTGTACTCTGCTTGCTTTGCTTTACATCAATTCAAGTAAGTCCCCATTTTTTTCTGAATTTCTTATATTCACTCCTTAAAAGTATAATGATATTAATATACCACAA